AGGATGCATACCACACACATTGACAGGAAGAATGGGCACAAATATGACTAATTTAGCAGTGGATAAGTATGTGTGTGGTGCATTTGTAAGTACATTTATGTGATATTTGAGACCACATGTGTTCATTAAGGTGTTTGTATGGTCTCTATTTCTTTTGAAATTCTAGTGTACTTACTATTTTTGTATCATTCATTTGAAAATTTTCACGCGTTTACTTGCTGATTAACTTTCCATTAGTCAACATAGTATTTCTCTAAATTTGGAATTTGAAGTCATACACTTCAACTAGTTTAATTTTTTTTTTGCATGCACTAAGCACTCAAATATTTGTTGGCTGGTATGCATCAACATTTCAAAAATGCATCAAATTGAATGATGCATCAAAGTTCTAGTTTGTGTTTTCTGTTTTAGAAGAAAAAGCAGTGGAGCTAAGAAATTAGAATAGCTGGAAGAAACTGAATTTTATGTTTGATGAAGAAATTCTAAATAGGCATCTATATAGTCTAAATAGCTTCAAGTCCCAAAGACAGGGCAAATTTTATACATTTATCTTGGAAGAATCTGAAAAGTAGATCACTAAATAACTCTCAATGATCTTTGAGGAGTCATAGAGAAGTAGAAGTGCTAAGGCATTAGGAAGTAATTTCTGGAAAATACACAGCAAGTAACATCACCAAAATTGATAAAAATAATTGATATCTAAATATTTCATTTAATTTTGCTTAGATACAGAGATAGAGTGTATCCAGGCTTTAGCTAGCCAGCTATCAAGATATCCTATGATATCTTTTGGACAAGTTAGCACACTGTGGTAGCTAGTTAATAGTTGAACAGTATAGCAAACAGGTGCTTAAAATTAGCTTATGCAGCAGTAGTTTTTAAACTTTTTGGTCATGATTTGCAGAAAGAAATACATTTTATTTCATTACCTAGTAGCATACATGTGCATATAATTAAAACACGTTTCATAAACAGTACCAATGCTATAAAATAGATGCATTTTGATTATTTCCCATTTTATGTGTTTCTATTCTAGTTCATTAGAAAAAAAATACTGCTAGCTGCAATCCACTAAATCACCAACATAGCTCTCTAGTATGTTGGGACTTACAGCTTGAAAAATGTGAATTGACTTCAGCCAGAATTATAGTAGAGGTTACTGAGTTGTTTTGATATTGTTCAGTTAAACATTGGGGTGAAGATGTAGAAGGAATGTTCTCAAATTATCAAATAAATAATAAGAAAAATGGGATAATAAACTATTTGCATTATATAATCAGGATTTAAAAATTCTCAGCAGAAGGAATTTAAATAGAAAATCTGATAAAATTTAAAATCAAATATATATTTGCAATTCTGTATTTCTTATCTTGAACTCTTATGTAAACTTATGTATTAGAGATAAGCTATTTATTTACAAACAAAACAAGGTACCTTGGTTTTTCAGGTTGATAGTTTCAACAAGAAATTTTATGTATATTTTATGTATGGAATAGAACCAAAGTTATCTGAGAACCCACTACATGCCAAATTTGAATCATTATTACTTTGCATAAATCATTACTGTCATATCGCTGAAAAACCCAAACTCAAACAAAACCAATCTAAATTGATTTGGAGTTACATGAACTGGAGTCACACAAGGGAACTTCATTAAGTTTGGGAAAATTGGGCACAGATTGTTTTGCATAGTTTTTTCATAAAATGCATTTTCAATGAAAGTTTTGAAGAAGTCCTGCATGGATGGATTTCACAAATTTTTGCATCAAAATAAATTTATCTTTGAAATTCATTTTTCACAAAGTTTTTGAACTACCTTTGTATTTCTAAAGGTTGAGGTTGAGATAAGAGTTTCTTTGTTTTATGCTGGTTTGAACCCACATAAAATTTGGAGTAATCTGTTCAGATAAAGTTTAGAGAAAACTGTTTTTTTAAGAACAATATTAACATATTTAGCTTAGTGAACTATCCATTTTAAAATATACTTATTGAATATAAATTACAGGCCAAGTACGTAAGGTGATGAAAACACACAAATGATAACATGGTCTTTTCTCACATTCAGTGAGAGGAAACACTGCCACTCAGTACTACATTAAGTACATTAAATGTACTAGCTCCCTTTTTCCTGTGAAGTAGTATTACCATCCTTTCTCTGGGTTGAACAAACTGAGGCTTTGAAGCTAAGTCTTTTGCCCAAGGTCACAAATAGTGATGGAACAGGTATTTAAATCTAGGTTGCACTGAATTTGGAGCATGTGTTCTCAACTACTAGGCAATATTGCCTCTCAAATCTCAGAGCCATGGACTTTACATTTCTAAAAGTTGTCTTCTGGAAGTATGAGCATGCAAAATATACATAAAATTAATATTGGATCACATACTTTTTTTTTAGTTTGGAGATTTAAAAATAACATTTTAGGTAGCTTTTATTATCATATAATTATATTTTATTTCAAAACATTGTGAATGCAAATGCTAAGTTATTTGTATAACAATAGGCTTTGTAGGCCAAAAAGAAACAGACCTGCTATCTTTTATAAACGGTATGCATTTGGTAATGGTATTAAAAACATGGAACTGTGAAATCATAAAGATCTGTATGTGGTTACTTTTGGCCTTACCTGTCTTTGTAGGTCATTCAACACACATTATGCCTGCATACTCTAAGCCTCATTTATTATATGCTAATGGCAGAATTGAAATTATTTCATTGAACTTTAGCTTCCTTTTAGGACAGGAGGAGATTAAAGCTCAAAAACTTGATTAGACTGCAAAGCTAGTAAGTAAGTTGTGAGTGGGATTCCAAGCTCCATGCAGTTTCCACTATCATACTTCTAGAAGGAGCTGATAGTCTGGTAGAGAACCCTTTCAAATTGGTAAATTATTTTGAATATCTCTGAAGTTTTACTAAGTAGTAGGGTACTTCAAAAAGCTTGTGGAAAGTTGAAATTAAAAGGTGATTTATTTTGTTGTAAAAATTTTTAAGTCCCTGCATAGTTTTTAAAAATAATACCCATTTCCATGAACTTTTTGAAGACCCTTCATACACAAAAGTGGTTTTCTTCTTTCAAAGGGATATCCCCTTTACCCACTCCTTATCTCCACTAGAGAGACAAGAAAAACAAAACCCAAATGCACACACATACTGCTTCAGAAGCAAAACAGGAACATCAAAACAGAAATGTTAAAAAGATGCTGGGCTGTTGATTCACAAAGGAAATAGGGTTCAGGTTGTTACTGTCTCCTACAGTACTCATGCAAGAAGTCTAGAAATAGTATGAGTTAGAACCTGCTGTCGTGTATATATATAAATATATGTGCACAGAAGGATTTTTAAAAAATCTAATGTGATGACCTTTCAGACTGGATTGATGTATTTATAAGTGGTACATAATTTAAAAAGGTACATCGTTTTAAATGTGCAAATCAAACAGCGCTCCCAGAAGTAGATGATACTCATTTGGGACAGGCATAAATGCTGAAGACAGATAACTGTCATAGGATTTTTCAATCATAGCATGTCTCAAGTCAGATTATTAAGGCGTACATGTTTTTGTAAATCTCTTTCAGAGTTTCCAACTATTACAGCTTCTAATGATTTAATCGCTACTTAAACGGACATACCAATTACCATTTCTTTCAGAAACGTTTGCCTAACTACTTTAACAATTCAATCTCTTCATTACAAATTTAAGCAAACAAATAAGACAACCAAGAACTACTCCTAAGCACTAGTTTGGAGAAATTTGCTATAACCTGTGGCACTTAAGAGATTTATCCTGTTCTCACTTGCTGGGTGCTAACCTGATTAGCAAGTCCAGTTAATTATGACTGATAGCAAACTGGATGATGATAGATTTGTATATTGACTTTTTTTCCATTGAGATGACAATTAAGATGATGAGCTTATACTTCAAAATACCTAGCATAGCTGGTGACTTGTAATAGATCTTTATTGCAAAGGGCAGACTTCATGAAATATTAAAGGAAATTACACCTCTCATTTTGAGGGAGAAACCAGCAGCCACGCTTATTTAGCTTTAATTCGATACTAGAGCAAGATTATGGTGTACCTTTTGATTTTTTTTTTTAAATTAAAAGCGATTTTTTTTTTTTCTGCTTACTTCTGTATCCGTGCGGACACAGAATTTTTCTCACAGAATCAAAGCTGTTTCCTGGTGAGAATCATCCGTATTTTTAGAGATTTTAAAAAAAGTTCCGAACTGTACACGGCTATCAAAAAGGGAGGCATCATTATTAGTTGGCCTCACACCCGATTTTTAAATTTTGCCGCTCCCACAAAACCACCCCACCGTGTCCCACAGGGCAGCCTTTCCGGGCTGGGAGGCGAGTTCAAGAACTGTTTGTCTAGCTGAGCTTTATCCAGATAGGATCCCTGCTTGACAAGTTCTATTTTAAGTCGCGCCTGAGTGTGCAGGTGTCAACCGCTTCCACGGCTATGGGAAAAGACCCGACACGCGCCGTCTGTATCTTTCCCCTCAGAGCGTCGCTTTGCGCTTCGCCAGCCACCCTCTGGGGGAGGGGAACATTCCAGGGACAGCGGGCGGACAGGACTTCGAGGAAGGGCGAACAAGGGCCGAAGGAGGTCGTGTGCCACTCCCCTACCTTTCGAGGCACGTGGCACAGGGAGCGGCGGCGGCGGCAACAACTGTGACGATGAACCTCCTCCTAGCAAGAGGGTATTGAGAGAAGGAGGAGGTGGCAGCGAAGCAAGACACGCACACTGTGTCCTTCCCCACAGGGAGAAGCCACCCTCAAGGGGAAAACCACAAGGAAGCCACTACCGCCCCACCTCCGCCAGCTTGCCCCAGTGTCTGGCAGCCGTCCCCATGCACCTGCTCACCTGTCTATCCGTTCAGGGCGGTTGGGGGAGGGACGAGGGGTGTCAGGGCGGGTGGGTGGACCGGGAGGGAGGGCAGGGCGAGAGAGGGGGTGCACGAGGGCTCCGCCCCCGGAGGCTGTGCGCAGGCGCAGTGGCCGCTACCGCAGGCAGGGGGCGGCAACATGGCGGAGTGAGCGGCGGCGTCGGGGTTTCACAACAACAGTGGCGTCCGGAGCGGCGGCAGCGGCGGCAGCAGTAGCGTCGGCCACAGCCCCAGCTTCAGCACCGGCTAGCGCCGTGGCCGGCCGCTCGCGCCCCATCGTTCTTCCGAGCGGCGGCAGCATCTCCGTGGGGGGCGGGCCGGGCCGGACGGACCAGGAGGGGGAGAGAGAGGAGGCAGCGGCGGCAGCGGCACAGCTGCTGGGCGGGTACTGCCGCTCGCCAGGCAGCGGTTAGCGGCGCCGCCACCGCCACCGCTGGGAACGAGCCCGAGGACCTCCCGCCGCCTCCGCCGGGAAGGGCGCCGGAGCGGGCCGGGCTGAGGCGCAGGCGGGGACGGGCCCGGCGCCGCGGCGCTGGTGGATGCTGGGGCTCCGAGGCGACAGCCGGGGGGCGGGGGCCGAGGCAGGTATAACGGTACCGGCGGAGGCAGCACCGCTGCTCTTCCCTGCTCCTCAGGAGGGGCGCCAATGGCGAGCGAGAAGCCGGGCCCGGGCCCGGGGCTCGAGCCTCAGCCCGTGGGGCTCATCGCCGTCGGGGCCGGCGGCGGCAGCGGCGGCGGGGGCAGCAGTAGCATCGGCGGCGGCGGCGGCTGCGGGGCCAGTGGGATGGGGGAGTTGAGGGGGGCGTCCGGCTCCGGCTCGGTGGTGCTCCCCGCGGGGATGATTAACCCTTCGGTGCCGATCCGCAACATCCGGATGAAATTCGCAGTGTTGATTGGACTCATACAGGTCGGAGAGGTCAGCAACAGGGACATCGTGGAGACGGTGCTCAACCTGGTAAGGGACCGGGTGGACTCTCCCCCGCGCCCCCCTGCCTCCCCGGCCGCCACCCTTCCACCCCCGGGTTCACACGCGCCCGCGAGTCCCTGGGAGCGTAGCTCGCTGGGGCGGCATTGCCGCGGGTGACCTCCTGCGTGCTGCCCACGCCGCGCCACCTCCCTCCTCGTCCCCAGTCCCCTCCGGCCACCTGAGCACAGTGCCCAACTTCACCCTGCTCCTTATCACTTCTCATGACGGCGACACAGTCATTCCTCGCCGTGAAGGTTTTGGGTCGACTTTAGAGTTGAGTTGGGGGATGAGGCGGCCTCCTGTTCTCTGGGATTCTTTCTCCCACACTCTTAATTGTCCGTGGTATCGCTCTCCGAGGACGACCGCCTTGCCCCTGGAGCCTAAATTCCCCCGTGCTCCTGAAATGTGAGAGGCGCATTAGCTCCAACTTGAGCAGCTGGGGTGTGATGTTTTCCAGGGGGGAGGGAAATGATGCAGTTTTGCATCTGTCTTTAAATCTATTCCGAGGCTGTGATGGAGAGTACTGTGCTGTGTCCAACCCCCTCTCCCCCCTCCTCCCCATGTCTTAGGCAGCCTTCTCTTCTCTGTAACATTGCCCTGAATATGCTGATCTCTTAGTGATTTTTGGTGCACACAAGGTATTAAAATGTGAGGGTATGAAATCATACAGGTTGGTTTCTATGAGTGCCTTCAGGAGCATGGCATATGGTTAAAGACTAAAGCAAAGGTGTTAAATGCAGCCCTAGGTTTTGGTTTCTTTCGTGATAAGAAAGAGTTACTGCAGAACTGTGTATGACTTAATGTTTTGCGCTATCTACAGAGAGGCTAAGAAGCATTCAAGATGTCAGGGCAAAGAAACGGGAAGAAATAAGGAGAGGAGAATCATAAATTGAGCATAATTAAGAGTAGTCCTTTTTAGTGCTCTGTAAATGCAGTGTTTTTTGTTTGTTTGTTTGTTTGTTTGTTTTTTCTGCAGCAAAGCTTTTTAAACAGTTTCCTGTGGAACATCTAATGTTTGACATACTGTAGCCTTGGATTTTGGTTGGCAAGATGTAAATCAGAAGAGATCATTGACTATTCTATTTGTGTGGAGTCACAGCAGTATAAAAATATAACACCCATGCAGTCTTATTTTTTGGCTAAGCAATTATTTTTTATTTGATCTATTGGAAAACTGAAGGAAAGCTGCAGCTACAGCAGTGGTGCCTAGAGACATGGATTAGATAATGTCTACAGGGTTTCTGAACCTCTTAAATTCATAAAAAAGTTGAAGCCCTTTTTTTTTCCCTCTCCGCTGGCATGTCAAGTCAAAGATAGATGATCTATCTTTACTTTGTTGTGTTTATTGCTGTTTAAATTCAAGACACTTCTTTCTACTTTTGTTTGCCCTTCAAATAAGTCACCACAAAAAAAAAAAAAAGGGGTGTTAAGTTTGGGAGAATGTCACCACATTGATATGCCAGTTATTTTCAAAACACTAATAAAAATATGGTTTCTTGGGAATTTTTATTTTAATTAGCTACAGATAGGAGGTCAGTACTTGCTTTTTTTATTTCTAAAAGAGATGAAATCTCAAAATATGTTAGTATGTCAGCTGGCACTGTATTTCTGCACAAAGGAATGCATTTAAGTTTTTGAGTTTTCTTGTCCACACAATACTATTTTTACTTTAGCTGATGTGATAATAGTATTTGGATGCTTACTTGGTGTATTTTAACCTGATAGGCAATAGTAGAGCTTTCCCAAGCTGGAAGCTCATTTGAATGTGCAGCCAGTTTGGACTCTGCAGCAGTAGCAATGCCTGCTGGATCAGGTCTTAACAGATGGGGTTCTTTAGATATACAGTACACTAAGAAAAGAAGTGAAGTAGTTCTCTAGAGGTAGAAAATAAATTTAACTCTTTGGCAGGAGGAAAATCTGGCATGAAGGCTCAATTTGCAGGCATTATTTTAACTTTAGAGTCGTCAGAAACAGTGATACTGAAATGGTATATCCTCAAATCCACTTAAGACCTTTAACTATTGATTTTTGGAATTAAAAAAGTTAGGTTTAAAATTTCTTTGTACATATTTAAAGACTGCAAGAGATTTCTAAGTGAAATTTTTTTTAGAAAAAAATGACAAAGGGAAATTAGCCTTTGGAAGTGTAATATTTTTACAGTTGTGGTTTAGGGCTTTATTTAAGTTCTAGTATTCTCATGATGAAAGTTGTGCACATTTATGCCAATTCTCAAAAATATTTGGATATCATAGTTTTTTAATATCAAGACTTAATTCACTTTAATAGGTAAGTCAGTAGCAATTCATCTAGGATAAGGAGAGGAGAATCATAAATTGAGCATAATTAAGAACAGTTCATTTTCAGTGTTCTATAAATGCAGGTTACAGCCTTCTATTATCTCTAAAATGAGTAAAAATGTTTTAGAAAAATTAAGGTGGAAGTTGTGAGATATCTAGTATAGCCTCCTGTATGACCAAATAGAAAAGGAGCTAATGAAACTTCATAACAAACCAGTTTGTATCTTAAACAATACCTTTTTTTCAGTCACCTTTGTCAAACTGATTCTTTTTTTTTTTCCTGTTCATTCTTTGTTTGTGTATGAGAATACTAATACTTGGTTTTTGGGTGCTGCTTTACATTTGCCTTGCCTAAAGAATCAAAAGTTTTACAGAGTAAAGTTTAAGCATGTAGTAAAATATAGGTTTACTTTAACGCAGCTGTGGCTGTGATTTTTCTGCTTTTGTTTGCCAAAGGTAGATAGTCATTTCCAGTACTCAGGTGGATGTGGGAGTTTGATGAAGAACTATCAGTATAATGAGAAATAAAACGAATGGGTGGATTCATCATAGATGCATGTATTTTGTGTAATGATATTTTAGTTGACGTAAAATGTTACAAAACAGGATGGGCACTATCAGGAAGATAATTAAATTAGTTTATAAGTAACATTACATTGAGAGTTGTTTTTGTCAAGGATTTTGCCTTGTAGTTCTACCAATTAAAGAAACTGATCATCAACAGTCTTTGGCTTCACAAGAAATTACTTAATATGGCAGTGTCAGACAGTATAGATAGTTTATAGAAAAGAAATTTTGTTGGTTGCTTCCACCCGTCAAGCACTCTACTTAATCTATTGCTTCTTTTGTAAACACATTTGACATATGTTTATATAAGGTTTCTCGTTCCTTGAAGTAAATGCTATGTAAATACAATGTATTATCTTCGTTTATATCATGGTAATTTATTTTTGTCACATGTTTTAATATAAACATTTTAGAAAAGATAAAATAGAGGATTAATATTTACCTAGTGAAAGATTTCACAGTAGGGTTTTTTCATATAGCTGTCTTATGTAGCTGTATTATGTATAATTACAATTATAGTATTTAACTACAGACTTGAAGGTTTTTTCATGAATTACTGAATTCATGAGTTTTTCCAGTGACTTGTGGTTTCTTTTCATGAGTTACTGTGAGAAGTCAGTGTGTCTTTAGCTGCAGAAAATGTTCTTTTCTTCATTTTAATATTTTTTACATTCTAAATGGTATGCTGTTTATTTGATTGAAAGCATAACAAGATACTTTGAAGGGTTTTTGTAGATTATTAAACTCCTATCCTTTTGGTGTGTGGGTCATAGTATTTTTGTTAAAGGGAAATTGTATTTTTTTGTATTTGAATGTGACAGCATCTCTTCTCCCTTAGAATTTTTCATAAATGCTATAATTTTCATTATAAAGTTTGGAAATTTCACAAATAAAAGGTATATATTGCTTCTGAGTTAACTTTTTTAAAAAAGTTGTATCTTAGAATCATAGAAGTACTTAATGCTAATGAAACATTTATTTATATTAGAAGAATTTCCTATTTTTTAATTTATGTTTTCATATTAACTTGATTTATATTTTATTCTTGCTGTTGAGTATGGAGGATTACATAGGAAGTATGGATGTTTCCGTATTATAAGTAGTTATTAGATTTTCTACAGAAATAGTGATTTAGTCATGAAAGACATCAAAGCAGCACATATTTTGTAGTTTGTCTATGATCAGATAATATTAATTTTAAACTTTGGAGGGCAGAGAGAAAGAGAAAAACAGAAACAGAGCTTTTATTTGCTGGTTCAACTCAGGGCTGGGCCATGATGAAACCCAAACTTAATCCAGGTCCTTCACATGGTTAGCAGGGACTGAACCTCCTGCTACCTTTTAGGGTGTACATTAGCAAGAAGCTGGAATTGGGAGTGGAGCTGGGAGTGGCACCCAGACACTCCAATATGTGATGTGAGTATCTCAACAAGCATCTTAACTGCAAGGCCAAACACTGGTCCAAAATCATATTAATTTTAAATGAATTCTTTTTATATTGCTTGTCAGTTTTTGGTGCATATGGTACTGTTAATAAAAACTAAGAATATCCCAAGATTCTCTCTTCTTTTGCTATGCTTTTCCCAAACAGAGTATCATTGGGCCCAACAAACCTAGCTCATTTTGTTAATTGATATAGGCATATGATAAAGTTGTTACTCTTTTTTTTAACTATTTACTTAAAATAATTATTATGTATCAAATACAAAGGTCTTTTATTTTTGACTGTACTTTTCATACTTTGTGCAATCAGCCTATCTTTTTTGCATCACTGTCTAGTATTGGAGTTATTTATGTGTATTTCTCCTACCTAAGGTATAAACTCCATGAGAACTATAGCCAATTTCTTTTGTAATTATTATTATTATTATTATTTTGTATTTTTGACTCTTGGGTAAGTTAAGTGCATTTTAATATGCAGGACACCCATTATTGGGCAGCAATATAAAGGCTAGGTTCTAAAATTTTCTTTAACAGATTTCAGGTCATGGATCCTGAGTACATTAGACTTGTGTAAATTCAGTGTATTGCTTAGTTTTAAAACTACAAATGTGTGTTGAATATTTATGATGTTATCTATGAAGGCACTACTACTTACATAAATGTCATTTTGAACTGACAGAA